AGGTAGTCTGTAGAACGCCGGGACGCCCTCGGGTGGGGCGAGTTGGATGTTTAGTCCTCACTGAGGGAAATGTGTCTGAGGGCAAAGCGCGGAAAACTGGCTTGAGCTGCTGCGAGGGGAAAAGTTGTAAACCGTCACCCCTCCTCTCCGGCGCCCCGCAGGAGAGAACGGTTTCCTGGTCCCTGCGGGGTCTTCAGCGCCGGCCGATATTTCCCTGCAGCGGGATGGAGCAAGAGACTGAGGCAGTCCCCAGGAAGAGGAAGGAGGCGGACTCGGCCTTGGCGACAGAGCTGGGTAGGCCTCCGTGGGATCTTGAGGACAAGCAGCCTAAAGCCAAGGTGAGCAAAAGAGAGCCCCAGCGGGCGGCCCGAAGTCGTCTGTGGGTCCAAGTCCCCTTCCTGTGCAAAAGGATTAGGGCTCACCCACTGACTTCACTGAACCCAGTTCTCTGATCTGTAAAATAGGGATAATTCAATAGCCCCAGCGCTTGGGAGGTAGAGACAGGCACGGATCTCTGCGAGTTCAAAGCCAGCTTGATCTGCACAGCGACTTCCAGTACTACAGCCAGGGCAGTTATTCACAGAAACCCTGTCTCAAAAAGAAAAAGAAAAGTAAAAGAGAAACCCCAAATCAACAAAACCCCACAAAACTGACTTAATGTCTGATACACAAAATATCTGTGCAACAGGAAATGTTCCAGGAATATCCTTGTACACCTAAACAGAATTCTCTTCGTCCATACAATTTGTATTCTATTGGGCAAAAATAAAGCCGATTGACGCTCCTAATATTTAGTAAGAGCTGAATAAATATAGGTCATTCGTCAAGTGTTTTTCATTGTCGTGTGCCCACAGCAGTGACCTAGGCACTTGAGGTGTATTAATGAATAAATAAACAATACTGCCCTAGTACACTTTGCATTCTAATAAGGAGCCAAAACATACATTGTATGATATTTTAGAAAGGGATTAGTGTCACGATTTTTTTATTAAAATGGAATATTTATGGCTTATCAGATTAGCAATAAAGAAGAAATATGAGGATATTGACAATTTCACTTGAAAATTAAAAATAATTTGTCTTTATAGAAAAGTTGCAAAGCAATGCAAAAAACTGCCCCTAGCCAACAATGGAAAATAGTTGCAGACCCAGTGAAATGCTATATATGTTTTTATTTCCTTCAATGCCCTACATACTCACAACACAACCATCACAATAAGGAAATTAACAAAGTGTAAATTAATAAGGAAATGAACATATATTGCTGCCACCTAATTCTCAGAGCTCATCCAAATTTCTTATTTGATTAATCTTTTAAGCATGTGGTCTAGTGTAGAGTTATATTTACTTATTAATGTCTGTCTTCTTCAACTCTAATAGTCTTTTGACATTTGTGACTTTATTTTCTTTTGAGGAATTCTGGATCAGTTATTTTGTAGAATGTTCTTCAACCTAGTTTGTTTCTTTTTTGATTGGATTGAGGTTACACATCTTTGCAGGAATATCACAGACATGATAGTCTTGTCTTGGAGTCTGTATATGATTTTTTGATTAGTCCCGTTGTTGGTGTTACTAACCTTGATTACTTAAGATAGTAAGATGGTGATACTAACCTTGATTGAGTAAGATAGTAAGATGGTGTCTGCCAAGCTGTCTAAAACTCTTTGTAATTTTGTAGAGGATTCTTTTTCATCACTCCAATATATCTATATGAACTCACAGGTAATATTTTGTTCATTAAGCTATCATCTGTTAATTTTTCTTTTTTTCTTTTTTCTTTTTGGTGCTGTGTATTGAATGTAGAACCTTGAGTACCATAGTACTCTACACCTGAACTACACACACACACACACACACAAACACACCTACACCTGCCTCTTTTTTTTGATGCTGTTTCACCAAGTTGCCAAACTTGACCTTCAGTTTTCTCTGTGGCCCCGTAGGTCTTGAACTTGTGATTCTCCTGTCTCCTCAAAAACTGAGATTACAGTCCTATACTACCAGACTTTACTATTTATTCTTTTAATTATTATTTTCAAAATTATTTGTGTCTATTGTTGTTTCGCCAGGTCAAAGTGTATTACCCTTCACAACATGTGGATTGCTTCGGGCCGTTCAAGTATGGTTCTGTGAGGTGTACTAGGCTTCTGTTCATAGTTCTGATCTGTCTTCCTCACAAGACATCCTTCTTACCCTACTCAGGATCTTAGTATCCAATGCCTAGGAACAATGATTATTTATTACCATATAGACCTCTATCTTGCTTAATCTTTATCAGTTTCATACAGTTTGGCTTCAAAAATAAGGCAGAATTAGTAATGTTTATGAAGAAGTAAAATATGTATGGTAATTTTGTTGGGAAATTTATCTTGGCGAAATAATAATGTCAATAATAAGAATATTCATCCTAATATTTGTATTTTAAAAAATGTTTCACTAAAAGAGAGTTTTTAATATAAAAATTTTATTATATATTTTTAATGTATTTATCCTAAACCATTTTCACATGTTAAAATTGGTGTATATAACTGGGGAAAAATATAGATTAGGGGTAGGGATGTTACAAAGAAAAATGGATGTTTGTGAAGCCCCTAAGTGTAGTACAGAGATGAAAAGAGCTTGGTCTTTAGAGTTTGCATTCCAGTTGTGGTTCTAAAACCTATTACTTCATCTCTTTGTTGTAAATTGGAAATAATGGTAGTCCCCACTTAAAAGTTGTAAGAATTAGGGATGTGGGCCTGACTCAGTGGGTCCTTGCCTAGCAAGGACAAGGTACTGGGTTCAATCCTCAATGCCTCTAACAACAACGAACTTTCAATGAACAAAAACAGGTTTGGAGCTGGGTGGTGGTGGCTGTGTTGCACAGCTTTAATCCCAGCACTAGGGATGCACAAACAGGAGGATCTCTGTGAGTTTGAGGCCTGCCTGGTCTACAGAGCAAGTTCCAGAACAGGCTCCAAAGCTACAGAGGGAAAAAAAAAAAAAAAAAAAAAAAAAAAAAAGGTTGTAAGAATAAAATAATTTGAAACAAATAAATTTCTTAAAACTTTGGCTAGGGGCTAGCAATGTGGATCAATAGTAGAGCACTTACTTGCTTTGCATGTACCCTGACTCCAATCTCTAGTACAGCCACTTTAAAATGTGGTTAATAGAAACTGTCATCATCAGTTTAAAGTTATTGTATAAGTTAGGGTTTCCACTGTTGTGATAAAACACCATGATTCCACGACCAAAAGCAGCTTGGGGAGGAAAGGGTTTATTTCAGTTGCATGTCCAGATCATAGTCCTTCCTTTGCTAAGGGAAGTCCTGGCAAGAACTCAGGGCAAGAACCAGGAGGCAGGAACTGATGCAGACACCAGGGAAGAGTGCTGCACACTGGCTTGCTCCCCAGTACTTGCTCAGCCTGCCTGCTTTTTTAGACCTTCAAGGACCACCTGCAGGAGGCGGTGCATCACCCACAATGAGCTGGGCCTCCTACACTGATCTTCAGTTGAGAAAATATTCACAGGCTTGCCTACAGGCCAGTCCTATGAAGACATTTTCTCAGTTAAGATTCCTCCTCTCAGATGATGAGCTTGTGCCAGTATAACCATGAATAACTTAGCAGTAATATCTGATATTTATTAAGTACTTAAGGTGTGTTGGTGGCAAGCACTGATATATTGCACCATCAGTCTGTCATTGATCCTTTCAATAATCTCATGAGATAGAATTATAGTTGTAAGGAAACTGCATCTTAGAATGGTTAAGGAATTTGTCCAAGATATTAGAAGTCGGGTAGTATGATGCTTGAACTCCTAACCATAATATTCTGCTGTTTCCTAGGAAAAAATGAAAATAATTATCTCTGAGTTGTATAGGTGTTTATTATTTATTTCACCATTTTTTATTATCTGAGTCTTTTGTAACAAGCAAAAAACACCTTAACAATCAGGCATAAGTTCAGAACCTTTTAAATTTTAATTGACAAATATTTAAATCTATTTATAAAATTTGGCCTATTAGTTAAATAATACTAATAAATTGTCAAAATTAACTAAAGCTTTGCTTTTAGTTAGATGTACCCCTTTGGAAAAACATCATCAATTCATCATAGCCTTATAAAATAAGTTCTTGACAAAGCCTTTTTTTTTTTTTTTTTTTTTTTTTTTTTTTGGTTTTTCGAGACAGCTTTGGAGCCTATCCTGGCACTCGCTCTGGAGACCAGGCTGGCCTCGAACTCACAGAGATCTGCCTGCCTCTGTCTCCCGAGTGCTGGGATTAAAGGTGTGGGCCACCAATGCCTGGCCCTTGACAAAGCCTTTTTAAAGGAAACAAGGAGCTTCCTTGTTTTTGTTGCCATAGGGTAATTCTGATTCTCATAGGTTAGATGTCACTGATTTGTGATTTGTTTACCTTGACCCCATTGTAACACTGCCACAGCTTGCAATATGCAATTTTGGCTCCGGTCAAGCCAGAGTTTAAAGAAGCCATCACTAAAATTCTAAACCGGTGGTTTTCAACCTGGGAGTTGAAGGACGTTTTCAAGGCTAAGACCATCTGCCTGCCACATATTTATGTTACGATTCATAACAATAGCAAAATTACATTTATGAAATAGCAATGAAAATAATTTTATGATGGGGGGGGTCACCACAACATTAGGAACTGTATTAAAGGGTCGAAGCATTAGAAAGGTTGAGAACCACTGTCCTAAACCATAGGGCAAATATACTTTTGCTCCTATTATTTTCAAATAGCATTGACCCCTGCAGTGTTAGAATTACTCATCATATTTCTCCCTAATGGAATAGAGTTCTTGAAAGCATGAATTGTATTTTAATTATCCTACTATTTTTAGCATACAACCATGCATAATACACAAATTGTACCAATGTTTATAAGATACTCTACTAATGACATCATACCATAAGTGGCTCCTTTAGACCTTTATTTTTAATTAATTAGAACAATCCTTGTGTTTATTTGTGTGTTAAAATAATCAGAAACTTGAATAATTGCCTTTTTGCCATTAATGAGCATTATGGTGTCCTGTATTTTAATTTGTCATTGCAGAAAGCTCGCTTATCTACCATTTTATTTCCTGAAACTTGTGAAGTAACCCATAGACAGCTGTGTGAGTTGCTGAAGTATGCAGTCCTGGGTAAATCCACTGTTCCTAAACCCAGGTATGAGATATATGGACCAGAGGTTTCAAACTGGTTTGTAGCATTTTGACATTTGTTAGCAATGCAACATATCCAATTTTTTTAAATTAAGTAACAGCTGTCAATTATGTGGGAATTTCTATATAAAAATCCAGATTGGTGATTTCTTCAAAAAAATTAAACTATGCCTGTTTTCCTACCAGTCAACATATTTCTCAAAGCTGAGTGTCAGTCTTTAGATAATGGTGTGTCTACTCCTACCTGGTATACTTACTTTACTCATTATGTCTGTCTGGCTACTATAGATACTGTAGTTTGCTTCTTCTGATGTGGACTCAATAGAAATTAACTATTGTTTTCTTAATATAAATTAATGCTATCTTAATAATTCTGGGTAGTCTTTTACTTCTCTTACAGGTAAAGAACAAAGACAATATTATTTGAATGCTGTCAGTGATATTAAGCACTTATGAAAATTATATTTTATTATGCCTCTTTTAGTTAGGATTTCTATTCCACATCATAATACATCACTGAAGGAAGTCAGGATGGGAACTCAAACAGGGCAGGAGCTGATGCAGAGGCCATAGAGTGATGCTGCTTATTGGCTTGCTCATTATGGCTTGCTCAGCCTGCTTTCTTATAGAATCCAAGACCACCAAGCTCAGGGATGGTACTACCTACAATGGGCTGGGCCCTCCTCTATTAATCACTAATTAAGAAAATGCTTGTGGAGGATCTTATGGAGGTATTTTCTCAATGAGGTTCCCTCCTTTCAGATGATTCTAGCTTGTGTCAAGTTGACAGAAATCTATCCAGCACAATTGAGAGATTAGTAGATGCACACATTTCCCTGAGACAGGTTGTTATAAATTGTCTATATTTTTAGAATCATCTTCTTTGTCAGTAAATACTGCCATCTGGCAGGGCCTAGTGGAGCATCCCAGCATTCAGGAAGCTGAGGCGGGCAGATTTCTGTGAGTTTGAGGCCAGCCTGGACTACATAGTGAGTTCTAGGACAACTGGGGCTATGTAGAGAGACCATGTTTCAAAAAGAAAAAAAAAAGGAGAGACAGACAGAGAGAGAGAGAGAGAGAGGGAGGGAGGGAGGGAGGGAGGGAGGAAAGAAGGAAGGAAGGAAGGGAGGAAGGAAGGAAGGAAGGAAGGAGGATTAGTCTGAAGTCAGCAGCTGGCTTAGGAGGGGTTTCAGAATATGTTGGAGACAGAACTTTGTAAAATGAGCTTGGAGTTCTGATTTAAAATAATGTTCAGGTGGAAGGAAAGAACCAGCTGCCCTAAGTTATCCTTTAACTTCCACTCTGTCACACACACAAAGTAAATGTAATTAAAGTTTTAAGCAGTAATAGGACATGCATTTATTAATAAATGCATTGCATTTCACTTGAGGTTTTATTTGATTATAACAAATATTTATCACAAAGATTTTTGGGTTTTCTTTGTTTTGTTTTGTTTTTTTGTTTTTGTTTTTCGAGACAGGGTTTCCCTGTGGCTTTGGGGGCTATCCTGGAACTAGCTCTTGTAGATCAGGCTGGTCTCAAACTCACAGAGATCCGCCTGCCTCTGCGTCCCGAGTGCTGGGATTAAAGGCGTGCACCATCACTGCCTGGCTTTATCACAAACATTTTTATTTGAATTCTTTGAAGTTAGGAGTATCTTCCAGTTATACAGTTATAGAGTCAGTAGTTGGTGAAAAGGTCTTTTAGTTGTTAGTCACTCTGTGTCCTGTTTGTTTTTTTTCCTGTAACTGTCTAAGAGTATCATCTTAGCTGTGTTGATTTGATGTTTTTCAACAGCTGGTGCCAGCTTTTACACCCAAACCACCTAAGCAGTGTGGTGATTTTTATTCTGAAGGGAATGAGTCAGCTGCACTTCTACAAGTTTTATTTGGAATTCAGATTTCTCCGAAAGACATTCAAACATGTAAGATAAGAATATTTTGTACTGGGGCTAAATTAGAGCTCCTACTGTGAGGCTGGGGCATCAGTCTAAGACTGTTTCTCAGTAACTAATTGTAACACTTAATTGGCTAAGGAGGAAGGATTTAATCCAACCTGGGCACAAGATCCTGTTTGAATTTGAATGCAGCATCTACTATATAGCAATACCTTGCTTACAAACAAACAAACTAAAAGAAAACCAACCAAAGAAAAAATTTTCAAATTGGGTGCCATTTGAATACTAATTGGAGCTCAATAGCATCTGCCATCTAGAAAAAAAAGGCATGTGCTCTTTTGCCTCATAGTCTGCTCTATTTCCCCCTGACCTATTTGTCTATATATTTCTTTTTATATGCCCAGTCATGTATTTTTTTTGTTTTGTTTTGTTTTGTTTTTTGTTTTTTGAGACAGGGTTTCTCTGTGGCTTTATAGGCCGTCCTGGAACTAGCTCTTGTAGACCAGGCTGGGCTTGAACTCACATAGCTCCGCCTGCCTCTGCCTCCCGAGTGCTGGGATTAAAGGCGCAAGCCACTACCACCTGACTCCAGTCATGTATTAATCATGTTATTATTTTCATCTTTAATGACAATGTTGTCCTATAAGAGGAATTTTATTTTTAAGAAAGTGAGTAACTCACCAGAATTAACAACCAATAAATTGTAGAATTTGAATATTAGCCCATATGAGCCTGCTGCTAGAGCTTTCAACCTATTTACCCTCTATATCATCTGTCCTAACTACTTGTTATGCTGTCTGGTGAAATAAAGAATTAGACGTTCCTGAAAACAATTATAAACTCCTCTAATGTTGACCTTTTTACAGTATAAAGTGAGAGGAAAAATTTTCAGGTGGTGATTTTATGGTAAATGTGGCTTCTTTTACTTCCTTACACTCTTCCATGTTAAGGAAACAGATCTCATTTATAGTGCAAATAAAGCCTAGACTTTTATGAAGATCTGAACCAACAATGAAAGTCTAGACCATTAAGGGAATGATGTCTGTTTTGAAGCAATTTTTAAAAGACTTAATATATTTTTCAGAAATTCAGCTTGCCTCCTCCAACATCTGATTTTCTATTTGATATCATTGGGCTGCAAAAGAAGAAATCAACTAGAGGTTTTCCTAGGACTATTGAAGGTATGACTTCAATTTTTGTTTGATGTTTGTAAAAAGATTTCATGGATGTGGTAATGTTTACTCTTCTTGTGACAACAACAACAAAATCCCCAATTCTAATTAACTTAGACAAAAAAGTGTCATTTTCTTTTTTTTTAAAGGAAGATTTTTAAAGTGGGCAAGTACCCAGAGAGGTTAGACACCAGAAACCATTGGTTCATGTTTCTGAAACTGGTTAAGTTGGGTAGCTAAGTATATTTGGATGTTACTAATATTGAAACTCATAATTACTGTGAACAATTGCTCTCTGCAGTCACTAGGTCTTTATACATACTAGGATATAGGTGGGAAGGAAGAATTTACCTTTGACTAGTGAAAAGGACATGGATGTTATTCATGTGAAGAACACATGGGAAATTTAGCTGTTCCTACTTTTAGTACTATAGCTGTGACCTACAGGTACAGTAGTTAGACTTTAAATATACATATCCATGATAGCAGAGTTGCTCAGAATGAGTTACATCCTGTCACTAAGTTACAATTAACTTTCTTTTATAAAATATGTGGGTTGTAGAATAGGAATTATCAAAATTCAGACACAGTAATGGTAAATATTGTCCAATGGTATTTCTTTGTGTTCAAAAATAATAGTTAAACAACTGTCTCATTGCACTGAGGAGACATAAAAAGGCAGGACTAATCAGGCTATTCCCTCCTCCCTGCTTTAGAACTGTTTTCTAGTTTCCTTTGTCTTGGTGGTATCTTCTAATTTTGCCACATTTCATTTGCTTTCCTTTCAGTAGGTGCCTGTATCATGTCTGTAGCTGTGTTTGATTTAGCATGCACTGTCATTTAAGTATCTCTGAGTAAATCAGAGTATCATTTAAGATTTGAGGTTCAAACAAAGATCTTGAGTTGACAAGGCTTAAAGATACAGCTTATTGTGGATGCTGAGGGGAAAAGGAGGTGGTAGGGAAAGAAGCAGCCAGGGATGACACTTAAGACTGTGTTTTGCAGGCTTTGAGTTTGAGTGATGATTTTATTCTATAGGCATTAAGGAGCCAGAGGGGTTGTGTTCTCTTAAGATTTTATTTCATTTTTCCATCCTAAGTATATCCAAGTCCCCAAGGCATAGTCCATAGCTCTCTCATCTTTCTTTAGTCTTTTCTTTGGCGTTTTTATCTATTTTTCAAGTTTACCTCTCTGTTTTCTATAGATAACTCCTGTGTCTTCATCTCTAGATTTGATGTCCCAGATTACAGTCTTTCATTGCAGTGGTTGCCTCCTGGAAATTGTTTCTTGGATATTCAACTTTCTTCTCAGTTATATCAGCTAAAAACATATTATCTCATCCATAAATAATAGGCTTCTATATTCAATTTCCATGTTAATATATTTTTTTTTCTCTTTAGTCACCAGTCTTGAATTTTATCTGGTTCCCTGTCTCCAATCTGCATGACTCATTCCCTTTACTCTTATATATCTCTACTCAGATACCACTTTATCAGAGAGGCCATCCTGACTTATAAACATGACAATGGCTTTTTACTTGACTACCAATCCCTATCCCTCCTCTTCTTTTATCTGTGGTTCTTATCCCTACTTGATATATTAAATATTTATTCATTTTTGTTTATGTGTTTATAAATAAACATTTATTTCATTATTCATTGTCTATCTTCTCAACTTGAAGTTAAATTCCATAGCAAATTTTATTGTGTACATTGGCTAGAATAATGCCAGTAAGCACTCAAATATTTTCTTGATGGAATTAGTTTATGTTTAGCTTTTTTTTTTTTTTTTGTATACCTTCCTATCCCTTTGGCCCTCTTACTACATAGGCTTTAGTTAAAATATTTATGCCAGTATTACTGTGAAGCCTTCCTAGTTTTGCTCTGCTCTATTTTTCACAAGTATTTGAGGTTAATTTTTTAAGATACTCTTTATATTTTGTTGTTTTCCTTCTTAGGAGCTTCTATTATTCTCCATTATGTACTGAATGATGAGTCAAAACTCAAACTCTTGACCCTGGCACGTAAATGGTGCATCATTTATTTTATCTCCACTCTTAACTTGACTCATAGATCTGTTTCTTCCTAAACTGTCATTGGCAAGCCAAGGTCTTTATATTCCTGTCTAACTTGGTGTGCCCTCTTCTACTGTAATATTTTGGCTTTTTGGGATGCAAGGACCAAATGTCTGTCTTGATCAAAGAGGATAGTGTTTGGAGGATACATGTTGATCAGAAAGACATCTGGAAGCTAAGTGCCTCCAGTGAAGAACTGTCTGTCTCTTTCCATAGCATCAGACAGAGGAAGTTTTCAAAGTGGTTGGTTCTATTTATATTTTAGTTAAAATTCTCGGCACAAGCTAATGTCATCAGTATAATTACGATTGTCTCATTTCAGAATGCAGTCCCACTTAAGCAAGGTCCACACACTTAACCTACTCACTGATCTTGACTGGCTAAGGAACAGGCTGGTGTTGTTTGAGGAGATGACAGGAGATTTGGGTAGATGAAGATAAAACAGGCTGATTGAAATGGGTAGCACTATAACAGAGGTCTAACATACCAACTAATTCTGCTTTCTCAAGATTTGGTAGGTTGCTTCCTGTCTTGAAGTGTTCTTTGACCACTTTAGCCCTCAAACACATTCTTTAACTTTTTGGTTTTTCGAGACAGGGTTTCTCTGTGTAGCTTTGGAGCCTATCCTGGCACTTGCTCTGGAGACCAGGCTGGCCTCGAACTCACAGAGATTCACCTGCCTCTGCCTTCCGAGTGCTGGGATTAAAGGCATGCGCCACCAATGCCCGGCTTTTCTTTAACTTTTATAAAAAGCCTTATTGTTGCTGGGCAGTGGTGGAGCACGCCTTTCATCCCAACACTCAGGAGGCAGAGGCAGGCATATCTCTGTAAGTTCGAGGCCAGCCTGGTCTACAGAGCAAGTTCCAGGACAGGCTCCAAAGCAACACAAAGAAACCCTGTCTTGAAAAAACAAAACAAAACAAACAAACAAAAAAACAAAAACAAAAATCCTTATTGTTATAACATACTTGAAATTAATTGTCTCTGTTATTGGTTTTTTCTTGTTTTATTTTTTTGAGAGTGGGTCTTACAGTGTAGCCCAAGTTTGCTTTGAACTTGAATTCTTTTGCCTCACTCCCAAATGCTGGGATCATACATGTGCCTTGGCATGCCCAGCATTTCTCATGATGTTATAACTGAATGAAATCATACACACACCTCTTTACAAGTTGAAATAGAGTCATAATATCTTTTTGTCTTCATTGTGCTTAACCTTTATAAGAAGCATACACTCTAAGGTTTTTATTACTATTGTGTGTGTGTGTGTGTGTGTGTGTGTGTGTGTGTGTGTGTGTGTGTATTCTAAGTACAGGCACATTTGTGCTAAAGCATGCACCAAAGTCAAAAGACCACTTCCAGAAATAGTTACTTCCTTTTACAGTTGGTTCCTAGATAGAATTCAGATCACCAGGTTTGTGCAGCAAACCCTTTAAATCCACTGAACCATCCTGCTGGCCTTCCTTGAGATTTTACACATTCTAATACACATTGCATTACCTTTATTGTTTCAGGACCTTTAATGTCTGCCGTTCTAAAATCCAGCACCAACCTGCAGAATGACCCCATCATTCAGAAGTATGGCTGTGAGAAAGTGGGCTTGACTAGATGCCTTCTGACAAAAGAAGAAATGAAAACATTTCATTTCCCACTAGAAGGTTTGCTTAAACTTACTTAATCTAATATCACTAGTGTGGATGAACAGATTAAGTTACACGGGACTAGGATAATACAGGTTAATTTTATTCGGGGAGAGGTCACTTACACAAGAAACCAATAACTCCAAATTCCAGCTCCGGAGATCAAGCTCAGCTGCTCTCTCTTACCTGAAAGGAACCAAGAGAGTCTGTGCCCTCTCTCTCAGCCCTTTATTCCACATGCCTTCTACGGGCGTGGTCAGCAGTGCGGGTATCCAGGGTCTCTCCCTACACACTAGCTTCATTCAAATACTTTTGTCGAAAATTATTTTTTGGATGCTTTTGGGATAGCTTATTTATTCTATCTTATAATGTGGAAATATTTTAGTGTAAAATGTAAATAAGTGATGATTTTAGGTTGTACATAAAGGTTGTAATTATCAGTAAAATGTTTAATGAGAATGGTCCTTTTGTTTCTTTTTTTTCATTTCTCTTTCATTTTTTTTTTCATTTTCTCTCTAGAAATGATCAATATTTCTTTAATATTTTAAGACTTTTCCAAGCTGAGGAGATGTTGCAGTCCAGCTCCCTTATACCCATGCTGGATATGCCCCTTGCTTATAATTCAGTACTATGGAGATGGATACAAGAGATCCCTGCAGCAGGCTGGCTAGTCAGAGTAGCCAAATTGTCAAGCTTAGTTCAAATGAGAAACCCAATTTCAGGATATAAGATAGAAGGCAATCAAAGAGAACAACAGATGTTAAACTCTGGACTCCAGGCTCATGTGCCCACAAAAATGGAAACATGAATAAACACAGACACAACATACACTTGTACATAGTAAACCAAAAAACTTCTTCATTACATTAGTCCTTCCTTGTTGTTTCTATTTCATTTTTTAGTTTCGTATTGAAAAAAATTGTTCTATGTAGTATATTCTGATCATGGTTTCTCCTCCTCCAACTCCTCTCAGATCCTCCCCACCTTCCCACACACACAACTTTATGCCCTTTTGTTCTCTTTCTTTAGAAAACAAACAGGAAAACAAGACAAACTTGCAACAACAACAACAACAATAATAATAATGATAATAATAAAATCAAATAAAAATTCAAGAAACAGACATTTACACATCTACACACAAAAAAATCTGTAAAAGCACAAAATCAGAAACTATAATATATAAGCAAAAGGCCAGTAAGACAAAAATATACAAACAAAACACTAAGAGGCAAAACATCTGCAAAAATACCATTGAGTTTTTTTGTTGGCCATGTACTTCTGGGCATGGGGCCTACCCTTAAATGTGGTTCATATAGCCAGTGACATTCCATTTGAGAGAACTTTTTCCTTTGCAAGCAGATGTCACTTGAGAATAGCTTCTTGTGGATAGGAGTCCTTGTCCACTTCTCCAGTCAACTCTGGGACCCCATCTGGTTTGAACCTGTATAGGCCCTGTGCTTGCTTTCACAGTCTCTGTGAGTTCGTATTTGTGTCAGTCTGTTGTGTCTGGAAGACACTGTTTCCTTGATGTCATCCATCCTTTCTGGCTGTAACAATCTTTCCATCTCCTCTTCTGCATAGCTCCCTGTGTCCTAAAGGGAGAGGTTTGATGAAGACATCCTATTTATGACTAAGTGTTGCAAAGTCTCTCACTCTCTAGACACTGTCCAGTTGTGTGTCTTTGTGTTAGCTCCCATTTACTATATGAGGAAGTATCTCTGATGATGGCTGAGTGAGGTAGTGGTATAGCAGGCATCATTTTATTGCTGTGTTCCCTTAGCAGAACAGTAGCTTTTGATTTTCCTTTAGGCTCATGGCCTATCCAATCACAGAATGGTTGGCTATTCTAGAACATTTGTGCCACTATTGTACCAGTGTATCATGCAGGCAGGTCACTTTTGTAGATCACAGACTTTGTAGCTGGATTGGTGGCTACCATCCTCCTTTGGTAGCATGAAGAGTGCCTTCCATTTCTGTGAACACCAGTCAGTAGAGGTGAAGGCTCTAGTTAGGCACCATCTGGGCTTCTCTGTGTTTAATGAGATATATAATTGTTGTTTTCAGCAACAATGTCTTATCAATAGCCTTGGCAATAACGTGAATTGTTTGGGCATTTCTATGGGGCTCCTTTGGCCAATAACTCAACTAGATGTAACTCATTCCTGGCAGTGGAGATTATACATAATGGCAAAAGGTGTCTAGTTGGGTCATTGTCTTCCTGATTATTTGGTAACTCTATTTAGATTCCTTTCATATACATACATATTTTAAGATGTTTTTATGGTGGTAGGTTTCCATATGACCCTTCAAATGGCCCTTAATATTAGCTGTCCCTCCCTGTATTTTCTCCTTTGTCCTTCTCTTCTATCTCTGTCCCCATTTAATCCTCCTGTTCCAATCCCCTACTATCTCTCCATAACTATATACTCTATTTCCCCTTCCTTGGGAAATCCTCCCCTCCAGCTAGTCACTTACTTCATACCTAACCTCTGTGGTTATACAGATTGTAGCACATTATGGAATGCTTAAAAGCTAACATTCACATATAAGAGAAAATATATAATATTTGTCTTTTAGGGTCTGGGTTACCTCATTCATGATTTCTTTCCTAGCTCTATTTATCTGCATGTTTCATAAGTTACATTTTTAACTGCTGAATAATATTCCATTGTGTAAATGTACCATATTATCATTATGCAGTCAGTCATTGGTTGCTATCTAGGCTGTTTCCAATTTCTGGCTATTATGAATGAGTGAACATAGATGAGCAGATACCTCTGTAGTAGGATATAGAGTCCTTTCAGTATATGCCCAAGAATGGTACAGCTGATCTTGAGGTAGATCTGTTCTCAGCTTTCACACTGCCACACTGATTTCCACAGTGGCTATACAAGTTTGTACTTCTACCAGCAATGGATGCCTATTCCCCTTACCCCACATCCTTGCCAAAATGAGCTGTTGTTTGTTTTAGTGATCTTGGCTAGTCTGACTGATATAAAATGAAATCTCAAAGTAGTTTGATTTACATTTTCCTGATGATTGAGGATGTTGAGCACTTAAGTGTTTCTCATTCCTCTTTTGAGAACTCTCTGTTTAGTTTTGTATTTTTTTAAAGATTTTATTTATTTATTATGTGTACAGTCTTGTGCCATTGCATGCCAGCAGAGAGCACCAGATCTCATTTAAGGTGGTTGTGAGCCACCATGTGGTTGCTGGGAATTTAACTCAGGACCTCTGGAAGAATAGTCAGTGCTCTTAACCACTGAGCCATCTTTCCAGCCCTAGTTTTGTATTTTTTAGGAAAATTATTTATTTGTACTTTGTGTACATTGGTATTTTGGCCACATGTATGTATGTGTTAGGGTGCCAGATCCCCTGGAACAGGAATTACAGACATTAGTGCTGGGAATTGAACCCAGGTCCTCTGGAAGAGCAGCCAGTGCCTTAGCCACTGAGCCATCTCTCCAGCCCCTAGTTTTGTATTTTTTAACCCATTTTTATTTGGCCTATTTGTTTTCTTGATTTCTTTTTTTTTAGTTCTTTATATATTTTAGATATTAATAACTCTGTCAGATGTGTAATTGGTAAAGATCTTTCCCATTCTGTAGCTTTCTGTGTTGTCTTAATGATGGTGTCTTTTTCTGTACAGAAACTTTTCAGTTTCTTCCATGAGGTCCAATTTAGTTTGTCTTAGTGCCTGTGTTACTGATGTCCTGTTCAGAAAGTACTTTCATGTGTCAAGACTATTTCCCAGGTTCTCTTATCTGAACTTATGTCAAAGTTCTTGACTCATTTGGAGTTGAGTTTTGTGCAGAGTGATAAATATGGATCTATTTGCATTCTTCTATATGCAACCATCCAGTTTGACAATTACCCTTTGTTGAAGATGGTGTCTTTTTCCAGTGTGCAAATTTGGCTTCTTGTCAAAAATCAGGTGTTCATAGGTGTGTGGACTTAGGTTTGAGTCTTCAATTCCATAGTTTAACTTGTCTGGTTTTTTTTCTTTCTTTTGTTTTGTTTTTCAGAGACACGGTTTCTCTGTATTGTTTTGGAGCCTGTCCTGGAACTTGCTTTGTAGACCAGGCTGGCCTCAGACTCACAGAGATCCGCCTGCCTGCTTCCTGAGTGCTGTACACTACCAATGCCCAACCTTGTCTGTTTTTATGACAGTACCTTGGTGTTTTAATTACTATATCTCTGTAGTGCAACTTGAAATCTGGAATGGTGATACTTCCAGAAGTTCTTTTATTATTTAGGATTATTTTAGCTATCCTGGTTTTTTTTTTTGTGTGTGTGGGTGTGAGTGTTTTGATATGAAGCTGAAAATTATTCTTTTTTTTGCTTTTCTTTTTTAAATTAATGTTTACTTAAATGAAAAACAATCTTATTTTACATACCAATCCCAGTTCCGTCTCCCTCCCATTCCACCACCATCTCCCCATCCCACTCCTCAGGGAGGATGAGGCCTTCCATGGGGGGGGGGTCATCAAAGTCTATCACATCATTTGGGGCAGTACCTAGGGCCTCCCCCGTGTATCCAGGTTGAGAGAGTATCCATCATGAATGGGCTCCCAAAACCCATTTGTGCACTAGGAATAAATACTAGTTCTACTGCCAGAGACCCCCAACTGACACCCACATTCGATCTTATGGCAGTTCCTCAGCTGTCATACTGGGGCCCATGAGCTCCACTTGCTCAGGTCAGCTGTTTCTGTGGGTTTCCCAGGAATGGTCTTGACCCTTTTGTTCGTCACTCCTCCCTCTCTATAACTGGATTCCAGGAGTTTGACTCAGTGCTTAGCTGTGAATCTCTGCTTCTGCTTCCGTCAGCTACTGAATGAAGGCTCTATGATGGCATTTAAGATAGTCATCAATCTTAGGGGAAGGGCATTTAAGGTAGCCTCTCCACTGTTCCTTAGATTCTTAGTTGGGATCAGTCATCCTTGTGGATTCCTGGAGATTTCCCTAGTGCCAGGTTTCTTGTTAAGCCCATAATGGTTCCCTCTATTAAGGCATTTCTTTCCTTGCTCTCCTTCCCCCAACTCAACCTTCCTGATCGCTCCTGTTCTCCACCTCCTCTCTTTTTCCCCCTCTTCCCTTTTTCCCCTCCTCTTTCTCCTACCTCCCCCCCCAAATTATTTTTTCAATTTCTGTGTAAAAATGTGTTGGAATTTTGATGGGGATTGCATTGAATCTGTAGATTGCTTTTGTTACAATGGTTATTTTTTATTATGTTAATCCTAATCATGAACATATAGTTTTTTTTTTACATCTTCTGATATCTTCCATTTCTTCAATTTCTGAAAGTTTTTTTAAGATTTATTTTTATTGTTTAATATTGATTGATTGATTGATTGATTTTGGTTTTTCAGACAAGGCTTCTCTGTGTAGTTTTGGAGTGAGATTTATTTATGTATATGGGTGCTTTGTCTGCATGTACATCTGAATACCAGAAGAGGTTATCAGATCCTGAACTGCAGTGTTGTGCCAGGAATAATTACTCAGGACCTCTAGTAGAGCAGCCAGTTCTTTTAACCATTGATCCACCTCTCCAACCCCTAAAAGTTGTTATTATACAATTCTTTCACTTGCTTGCTTAAGAGTTATCTTAAGTTTTTTGTTTTGTTTTGTATTTTGTTTGTTGTGAAAGGTATTGTTTGCAGCTCTGAGTTTGATTATTTTTTCCTGTCTACTCCTCTACTTCTTTTGGGCATTATTCTTTTTTTGTTCTGGAGCTTTCCAGTGTGCTGCCAAGTTGATCTCTCCAAACTTTTTATGTAGGCACTTCGTGCTGTATGAATTTGCCTCTTAGAACTGCCTTCTTTGTGTCCCACTAATATGAGATCTCTCCAAACTTTTTATGTAGGCACTTCGTGCTGTATGAATTTGCCTCTTAGAACTGCCTTCTTTGTGTCCCATAGGTTTGGGTATGTTGTATATTCATTTTCATTCAATTCTAAAATGTTTTTTAATTTCCTTCTTTACAGTAAGTGAGTTGTCCAGTTTTCATGAGTGTGTACACTTTCTGTTGTTGATATCCAGCTGTAACTCATGGTGGCCAGATAGGATGCAGTTGATTATTTCAGTTTTCTTCTCTCTGTTGAGATTTGATTATGTGATCAATTTTGAAGAAAATTTCATGAGTTTCTTTTATGTTTGGGTGAAATGTTCTACATATCTGGTAGGTCCATTTGACTGATGACATTATTTAACTCCAGAATTTTCTCTGTTTATTTTTTGTCTGGATGACCTATCTATTGGTGGGAGTGAATTATTGAAGTCACCCACTATCACTGTGTGAGGATCAATATGTGATTTTAGCTACAGAAGTGTTTCTTTTTTGAACTTGGGTGCCCTTGTGTTTGGTACATAAACGTTTAAGATTAAAATGTCTTGTTTGATCTTTCTTTTGATGAGTATGCAGTGTCCTTCCAAAGCTCTTCTGATTAGTTTTGGTTTGAAGTCTATTTTGTCAGTTATTAAAATAGCTATACCTGCTTGCTTCCTGAGTCCATTTACTTAGAATCCCTTTTCCATCCTGAGGCTGTTTATCCTTGTTGTTAAGGGGTGTGTGTTTCTTTTTTTGGTTTTTCGAGACAGGGTTTCTCTGTGGCTTTGGAGGCTGTCCTGGAACTAGTTCTTGTAGACCAGGCTGGTCTCGAACTCACAGAGATCACCTGCCAAGTGCTGGGATTAAAGGCATGCGCCACCAATGCCCGGCAAGGTGTTTCTTGGATGCAGCAGAGAGAAGGATCCTGTTTTCATATCCACTCTGTTGTGTCTCTTTTGGAGAATTGAGACCATTAATATTGAGAGTCATCAATGAGCTGTGTTTATTGACTATGTTGTTATGGTGTGGACTTTTTCCTCTTTTGATTTACTAGGTGAATTTATTAGCTGAAATTTTTATTCCTCATGGTTTCTTGGGTGTGGCTAACCTCTTCAAACTGAAATTTTCCTTCTATGCCTTCTGAAGAGCTGGATTCATAGATAATGCTTAAATTTGGTTTTACCCTATTTTTATGTTTTTCTTTCTCTATTGTAATTGATAGTTTTTCTGGGTATAGCAGTCTGGGCTGCCATGAGTAGTCTTTCATTTTGTAGTCTTTATTGAGAAGTAAGGTATCTGCCTTTGTATGTTATTCAGTCCTTTTCCCTTGTAGCTTATAATATTATTACTTTGTACATTTAGTGTTTTGATTGTTATGTGTTGTGGGGAATTTTTTTCTGGTCCTGTCTATTTGGTATTCTGTAAGCTTCTTGTATCATGATAGGCATGTCCTTTTTTAGGTTGGGAAAATTTTCTTCTATGATTTTGTTCAAAAATATTTTCTATTTCTTTGGTCTGGTTTCTTCTTCCTTTATTATTTGTAGCTCTGTTTTTTTTTGTTGTTGTTGTTGTTGTTGTTTTTTTTTTTTTTTTTTTTTGTGGGGTCCCAGATTTCCTGTTAGCACAGAACTTGAAGGAGTAGCCAACCAATGTCTGATTTGATCACCTCATGAGAGGGAACTCATCCCTGACACTATTTGAGTAACTAAGCACCAGAGACTAGATAGCCCAGAGACCTAGGGTAAAACCAAATACTGCCAGACTGAAAAAAAAAAAAAATCAATAAGATGATTCCTAATGATATTCTACTATACTCATAGATCAGTGCCTAATCCAGTCATCATCAGAGAGGCTTCCTCCAGCAGCAGATGAGAACAGATGCAGAAACCTACAGTCAGATATTATGTTGAGACAGAGTCTACATTGGAGGTCTCCAACAAATCCCTCCCCTCAGAGCTCAGGGAATCCTACAGGGGAGGAGGCAGAAAGATTGTAAGATACACAGGAGATAAAGGACACCAGAAGAACAAGGCTTTCTGCTAAATCAACTAAGCAAGACTCTGTGAGTCTCTGATCTCACAGTGACTTAAGCAGCAAGCACAGGGCCTACACCAGATCCTCTGGATATATGCATATATCCTTTTTTTAAAAAGGATATTACTAGTGACTACACCACTGAAGAAAATGTCTCTCCCTCCCCTAGCAACTATTAACTACCTGTAGGTCTTCGGGGAGGATACATTTTAATACTTCCAATTTCAATCAATTGGAAATTTCTGGATACTAGGAGGCAAAAACTGTTTCAAAGGTTTCATACTCTTCTTTAATTCTTGTCAAATAAAATCTGCATACTACTTTAGCTGCTTCAGTAACTGAGAAGGTAGAAATCTTTACTGACTCAAATGTTTTGGATCCCTGAGTGGTGTGCACCTGGTTATTAACTTAGTGTGTATAATGGAAAGAGTTCTCTGAACCTATATTGAACCTCTAGAGGAAATTTCCAGGTTATGATTCCAAGAAATTGAAGAACATTTCTGAATAGTGACTTCAGGAGAATCTTAGAGATAGAGTTGGGTGTAAATGCACATAGTGAAAGTTTCTCCAGCTTTCTGCCAGTTATACAGACTTTTTAGATGTTCACTATGGTGAATAAATCTCTTTCCTATTTTCACTTGTTATATTTAGAAAAAAAAATGCCACATAGAGTCATTTGCCTATGTCATTCTTTCTCCACTAGTACATGCATGAGAAGTGTCTATAATGATAACTGGGTTTAATTCTTTCTCATAAGAAGAAAGTTTTGCTTGGTAACAGTCCAGGCCCCAGGCCCCTGAAAGAGCAGTCTACAATATTCATTCAGAATGTAACAATTTCTCCATTCAGAATGAATGGAGAAAAAATTAACTTAGAGGTTGTTTTTTGTTTAGTCTTTATAAAGTAACACAGAGAAAATTCCCAGTAAATATGTTATTTGAGTTTCCCTGGATCTTCAGAATGGTGTTTATTATGTCCAGTAAATAGCTCCAATAAGCTGGTGTGTTGGTACATAACTTTAGTCTTAGCACTCAGGAGGCAGAGGTAGGCAGAACTCTGTGAGTTCAAGTTTTAGCCTGGTCTACAAAATGAGTTCCAGGACAGCTAGGGCTGTTACACAAAGAAACCCTGTCTCAAAATCCAAAAACAACAACAACAAAATAGCTCCAGTAAATACTTACTTCTTCTTCTTCCTAGGTTCCCCTAACTGTGAAAACTTTATCCTTACCAAGTGTGATGGTTCCATAACAGATAGTAGTCCCCTCTTTGGACTTGACTGTGAAATGGTAAGTAATGCTTTGATTTTTCAGAGTGTGTTGTAAACTATAGTGTAAGATAATTTCTTGAGTTCAGTGCACCAGTGAACCCATGTCCTTCAGTTCCAGCTTTCAGTTTAAATAGCTAAAAGTAGGCCCCCTTTTAAAAACTTGAATCTATATTCCAAATGAAAACTTAGCCTTAAGATTTCTAAGTAATTTCTCTGTTTAATCATATTTTTAACCCATTACCAGGAAAGATTGGTTTTTTTGAATAGATAGTCTATTCTGTGACTCTGTCTTAATTACTTTGGGCTTAGATTTTGCATATTGAAGATTAGAAATTGGGATTTCCCTGCTAATTTAATAATTCTTCCAAAGACAAGTACATCCTTTTCTTGTAGTACTGGCAAATAGTTTTGAATCTTGTTTGTATATTGGCCTGTTAATGACTGTCACTTTGAGTCCCCTAACCCTTCTCTGCCTTAGTTTCTCCTCCTACAAAGTGTATAATAATTAAGGCTATGCTATAAATTTAGAGTTGCTTAGTAAAAGTGATGGTTCTTAGCCATAATGGTGGGTAATACATAGTCTATCAATGATAAATAGAATTATGATTGCTATTATCTTCATTTAAAAAATAAATAAAATAAGATTTCCCTGGAGAGCTCAAGTTGACATTGAACTTTTGATCTTGCCTTAGCCTCCCTAGCCATTCAACTTCCTCAGAAAGAAATTTTTTTTTTTTATTTTATTAGTTCTAGTTAGGGAACAAGTTTATTTCAAGTCCCTTCCCCTCTTCCTCCCCTCACCCCCAACCCTCCCCCACTCCTAGCCCATCCCCCACCCCATCCACCCACCACTCCCCAGGCAGGGCAAGGCCCCCAAAGGGG